GGATCGACGGGAAGGAGGTCGTCATTCAGGAGACGAGGTATGAGAGAGGGTCGGAACTGGAGCGAGAGACGGAGTGGTGTCCCGATGTCCACACAGTCCACACGCGCGTGTACTATGCCCTCGTGAACGGCCTTATGGCGATGAGGATGACGGCCGGCCTGGGGTACGACGTCGAGGACAACCTCGCGGAGGTCGTCCTATCAGTGAAGAAGTTGTCGGAGGTTGTCCCCAACAATTGGGCGCTCCCGAACAGCGACGTTGTCGGCGACATAGTCAGGTACCTCATGTCAGCCATCGCCGAGGAACACCTTGCTATCATGCGAGGAGATGCTTCGTACGTGGCGCACATGGAGCCTTCGCTGGTTGGCAGACCGTACCTTCACGGAGCGGTGCAAATGTGGTGCCCCGATGACGACCTCAGAGCTGCGCGTAACAGGTGGTAGGATGCCGATGCGGATACGGTTGATAGGGAGGCCAGTGCAATGACTCCGGTCCTTTGAGCAGACGGTCGGTGAATGGACAGAAGAAGACACGGGACTCTGTCAAAGTGCTTGGCCATTGGAGGTGCGTCGGTCGTTCGTTGAAGTTTCCTTTGAAGAGTCGCCGACGTTGGAGGTCCTGCCACGTTGCAATACGAATAGGGGGAGGGGATACAGATAGGGGGTGGCGCGATGGTGGTCCTGGCACGTCGCTACATCGATTTCGGGCGGCGGCGATGGAGGTCCTGCTACGTGGCAACATCGATTTCGGGCGACAGCGATTATGGTCCTGCCACGTGGCAGCAGTCAATTTCTTGCGGCGCCGATGGTGCTCCTGCCACGTGGTTGCTTGTCCGAATGTGTTTCGGGTTCCGTGCGTGACGATAGTGTTAGGAGACATGCCTTCTCTTTCTCTCTCTCTCTCTCTCTCTCTCTCTCTCTCTCTCGGTCGTTGGGTCGCTCAGTCCACAATTCCTTGGGTATGCGTTGAAGCATTCATGGCTGTTTGTGCGGCACGGAGTGCCCGGATTTTGAATACTGGACAAATTGTTTGAACATATGATTTGGGGAGAACGGTTTTTGATAGCTCACACGAATTTGTATCGCATTTTCGAGAGAGAAAGAGAGAGTTTGAAATGTGTGTAATTGGAAAATTGTTGAATGTTCGCCGCTGGGTTGATTGTGTGCAATATATATATATATATATATATATCTATATCTATATATATATATATATATATATATATATATATATATATAGAGAGAGAGAGAGAGAGAGAGAGAAAGAGAGATGCGGCAAGTGTCATTGTTCGCCGATGTGGGGATCGTTTGTCATTGAAAATGCATGGCCCAAAATTGACTATAAATTGTATATATATGCTGGCTTGTGATGGGGTGTGAACCGACAGTCTGTAGAGTTTTCCATCTGGTGTGGGTGAGTGATAGTCTACTTTGATTTTGGTTAAGGTAGATTATCATTTA